CACGATAAAATGATGATTTCCTTTTCCCGTCCTTGAAAACCATCTACACTGTTGATTTCTACATCCTGAAATTAGGCAAAATGGTAATACGTCGATTTTCTGCAAGATCAGCAAATACAGTATAAAAGCATGCATGTACGGATTGACGTATGGGAGTAGGATCATACGCCGGATGTACGTACGGATGCTGACTGTCCGCCTTCCACCTCCAACATAACGGATAATCTAGTCAATCTCTGCTGTGATTTGCTGTTCTCTTTTACTAGCGATGTATATGATGTCATAACGCGAAGTCTATATAAGTTCTTGTGATGCCTAATATCGGTATCAGTAGTCTGAGATTTACTTCTGAGACTGCTTTCTGATTACAATTTCCTAGTGTTGTGAACTGTGATGTGAATTGGATAAAGAGACAGCAATACTTGTTCCTACGGAAGTGCATAGTCGTTCCCGGATTATCGCTTAGTATACAGGTTTGCTCGTGACACAATCGTCCTAGCTCTTGCCGATCCTCACAGGACTCACGACCGGAAGTTGTGGTTAGCTCGTTCCTGAGGGATTCCTGATCTTCTGTGTTCCTGATTCGTTCGTCTTATTTCCACCTTAGTTCTTCTGTTACAGTTTGAGAGTACGAGTGCCTACCGATTGAGCATTACAGGCGTGGAAGAGTAAAGATTGTTCATGGAGCCTTAACCGGCGTGAACGCTTATACACGACATGGCGCCCACCGGTGTCTTTTAATTTTCCCGATGTAACAGAAAATTATTGGTGGAAAGTTTGATGGTAATTTACTGGTAAAAAGTGGTCCGTACAGAAAGGCGTCGAACCGCAAAAGGTACGCCGAAGGAGGTCAGCGTTCCCGATCTGGCCTAGTTAATTTATTTTCAGCGAGCTTCCTCGCAATTGTGAGCTTCCTCACTGGTGAGCTTCCTCGCCAATTAAATTAAATTTAATTAAATTGGACCGTAGGAATAAACAGTCGAAACCTTAAAGGTCGGCTGTGCTAAATAAACTAGTACTGTGTGGGTAATTTCCGGGTTGTCTGCGCAAAGCAGTAACCGCGGCGAATAAAGCGTAGTCTGCAGTGTCAGTGTACCTGGCCTGCAGATAGAGCAGATAGTAAGCATCGAGCCATTGTCAGTGGCTAGGTGAGATAACGATCTCCAGCAGACTGATAAAGGCAAGCCGCAAGCGGTAGCCAAAATCAGCAGCTAGAGAGAGTTGACCGTGAATAGGTAAACACCGGCAAACGGTGATTGACCTGTGAATTCTAAAATACTGTAGCACGCAAAGTGCAGCAGTGTAATTTTAAGAATTTGTTACAGTCGAAACCGCAAAGGTTGGCTGTGTCTAATCTCACTGAACAATTCAAACCTAAAAGGAGGATTGGGAAGTGAGGAGACAGTAATTGCACAATTGCAATTTTGGAAACCAGTAGCACAATCGCTGCTGTACCTTTTATTTTAAATAGCCGCAAAGGTTATTTAAAATAAAAAGCAGAAATGTCGGGCGGTTCGATTCCTAGAAATCGCCCACCACCGCGTAAGATACCAGATAACAAAGTGATTATTGGGGCGTACGATGGATCGAGAGCTCAGACAAGGTTCAAATTTAACGCAAAAGAAATTCCGTTGAATTTAATGTACATCGCTCTTAATGTCGAACCACCAGAAGCACAAGATGCATTCTGTGGAAAGTCATGGATTGATTACCAGGAAATCAGGCGGTACTTAAATTCCAAAACGAGATTACCAGCACATTTTAAACCTTGGATTGAGTACGAGGGATGTATCCCTGAAGCTTACCTGGACATTACTGATGAGCAGTTTAAAGCTGCCTTGCAGGATGCAAACAGGTGGCTGCCAGAATATACGGAAGATTTGAATAGACGAAGAGAGGCGGCTCAAGCCGCACTCACAGCGTCAAAAGCAACTGGAAAAACTCCAAAAAAACAGGCAGCAAATGAGCGCGTCGCGCGCGGTGCCAAGGAGAGAATTCCAGCCCAGGCATCCGGTGCGATATTGGATGAACCCATATCGGAAACCCCAAGTGTGGCTGAGAGCCAAACAGAACCTCAGTCGTCCCAGTCAGACAATAATTTAATAGCGTTGGCGGCTGCGGATAAAACAGACATATCCGAGGGATCAGAAACAAGAGCAAGCAAAAGTATTCGTGGTGGAACAATGACTTTCCACCCGGCACAGCTAAAATTACATAGTTTTGTGTCAGAAAAAGATTTTGAGCAACCAGATGAGGACTTCCTTACCCAAGCTAGGGAAGTCGATGAGCAGTTAGCTGCGGCAGAAACTGACCAGGACGTGGGCTTGATAGTTCGGCAAACTATGCCCGTATTGATTCAAAGTCTCCGCACGCTCATCGCATCTACAAAAACAAAAGTAGATGAAATGGGTAATACAATGTCTTTAGACGCCCGCGTAGATGCGGAACGAAACGAAAAATTGAAATTTCAAAACAATTTCAATGAAATGCGCATTAAATTTGAAAATGAACAAATAGAAAATGACAGATTGGCTAACGAAATACGCATTGCGAATGATAATTTGCACACCTTAAGACAAGCCAACAGAAATGCGGAGGCCGCATTTAATGCAATACAAGATGAGCGCGATACTTTAAAAGACACAAATCGTAATTTTGAAAAACAGTTGGAAGATGCCCAGAGAGATCTTTCAAACGCGAAAGCTACGATTGATGGCCTCAGTGCGCAACCAGCACCGGATTTAACGAAGCAAATAACTGATTTGAACCAAAAGCTCTCGAAAGCTCAGAAAGATTGTAATTCTGAGAAAGATGCTCATAAATTAACTAATAAAAATTTGACGGATGCACAGAACCTGGTCACGAAACTTACCAAAGATTTGGATGACGAAAAGAAGCGGGCTAAAGATGCGGAAGACTCTCTACAGCGTGAACTCACACAAGCGAGAGTGCAGCTGAACAATAAGTCTTCAGTCGGCCCGATGCATATTCCCAAGGAAAAGGATGATTTGTCCCAAAAGGAAATTGAGAGGCTACAGGGTCTGTTGACTACAGAGCGAGAGAATGTCCAGAAGGCCCAAAAGGAATTAAAAGATTCGAAAAAGGATAAACGATGTGATAATTGTGAGAACGCGATTCAAGCGAAAAATACAGCACAGGCTGATGCATATGAAAAGTCTGAAAGATGTAATCGGCTGTATGAAGAAAATGCGCAATGCCGAAAGGAATGGCATGAAAAACAAGACCAACTTACCAAGATGGAAGTGGATCTAAAGCAAGCGTTTGACGAACTTCGTCGGCTTCGAAATACAGATGCTGCTCTTGGCGGTGGTGAAGGATACTTTCAAAGGGAAGCGCCGGTAGCAACAGGAGACGTATTACGTCCTCCCGCTTTTACACCATTTAATCCCCAAAATTTCTCGTCATATGTGGATCAGCCTATAGCTACTGGCAGTAATCCGGCTGGCATCTTACGCAGGCCTAGGCAGGAATCACGAGTCGAATTCTCGGAGGGTCAGACCATGCTGCGTTCATCGTCAGAAAGTCAAATTCCAAGGGAAACGGCACCTGCCAAACAGAGGAAAAATGGCTCAACAGACTTACGCCAGCAAATTCTGAAAAGAACAGCTGACGAATCTAGTCGCCAGATGCGAGGAACAGAAAATAGGGACAGTTCCGATACGGAAAATGAATTGATGGATGATGCCCTGATGGAGGACGAACACCGTCGCCCCAGTAGTACGACCAGCAATGAGTCTATGTCCAGAAATCCTCAGCTGGAGGAATGGCTGAATAAACAGACCCAAATTTCGGATAGAACGACACTTACACAAGAAAGCGTTGTTGAACTTTTAGCGAAATTTGTGGAAAAGGACAGCGATAAAACGGTAGGTGGCATGAAGCTCTTTGCCTTTGACGATGCTCATCCAGAAAAAATTCAAAGATGGCTCATGAATGTTGAACAATGTAGAGCCACGAATAACTGGAATGATGAAACAACGTGTCGCAGAGTAATCGGTGCATTCACCGGTCCGTCTTTTCAATGGTTTGAAAAATTTTGGAAAGACAATAAAGGCAAATCATGGTCTGATTTCTTTAAGCCCGCTATTGTAGAGCACTTTAACGGCTCGCTGTCTAGGGCCGACATTCGTAGGAAAATGAATAATCGCAAATTAGAATTTTATGAACCAGTTCGTGCTTACCTGGATAGTTTCCTCCCATGGTTTGAGGAACTAAAAACATCGGATGAAGAGCAGGTTGAAGCACTCCTTGATGGCGTACAGGAGCATCGACCGGCATGGTTCCGTGAAATTTATAATGCGGCACCTAAAAATTATGCGGAATTTGAGAAGAAGTTACAGGAATGCGAAAAGTTATGGAAGCGCATGAATAAAGATAAGAAGGCACCTGAATCAACTCAGAAAAGCGCTCCTTCAGAACCGAGAAGCGCTGGAAATAATAATAATAATTTGAATTATGAGTATCGAGGCGGCCGTGGTGGCTCGTCTCAAAGAGGAAATTATTATTTGAACCGGGGAGGCCGCGGAAATTATGGCAATAATCGAGGCGGATACTCCCGCTCGTACTCGGAAACGGTGATTCCGCAGCCGCAGAATACGGTGGCTCCAATCCAACCCGTCCTGAATGTTCCCCAGCCGCAATTTGTTCCAGTTCCGGTGTATTCACAGCCACCATTTGTTGAACAACACCCGGTACAATTTGCGCAGACTTTCCCTCAACCAATTCCTATGCAGGCTCCTATGCCTGTCCCAGTTCAAATGATGAATCCAATGATGCCGGTTATGCAGCCGCAATTCCAACAACCGGTGCAGAATTTCGATCAGCAGTACCAACAGAATGGTTCTGTGAATAACAACAATTATGATGGCGGTAATAATCGTGGAAATTACCGAAATAATAATAACAACTATCGCGGACGTGGCAATTATAACAACAATAATAATCGCCAACAAAATCAGAATAATCAGAATTACCGGCAAAATCAGCAGGCTGGAAATCAACCTCCGTTTGATGAACGAAATATCCTGAAGGATAAATGGCGAACAAATCGTGGAGTCGAAATTTGTTTCCGCTGTCATGGTCTTCATCCCGCTGCAGGTTGTACGAATCAGTTTGTACTTCCCCGTCAGTATGAGCCATCTGCAGAATTGTTGGCAAGATACAATAACCCGCAGCAGCAAATTAATATGATGGAGTTGGACTTACCGGCCGGTCTGTCCACGCCGCCGCCACAGTGCAATAAAATGGAAGTACAGGATTTTTCGCAATATCCGTTGGCAGATCACGTTTGTTTGTTGCCGACGCTGGATGCCCAGGCTTGGTATTCTGTAATTGACATAAATTATCAGAAAGTAAAAACCATGCTGGACACTGGCTCTAGCATTTCTGTTATGTCTTTAAAAATGGCGAAGGATTTAAAATTAAACATTCACCGCTGTCCTGATCACATTAAAGGCAGGGTTGTACATACAGCTTACCAAGGGAGACAGCTGATTGAGCCGTTGTCGGTAGTGGTCACAATCCACGAATTCGGGATGGCTTTTGAGCACGCAATGCTTGTGAGCTCCACTTTCGATAGGGACCACGTTGTTTTAGGTTTAGACTTTTTAGCTACAAAACCTTTTATTCTGGACATGAATACGATGACTTGGCGTCTCTCGCGTAGACAGCCTAACGCTCCGGCATTTTTCCGTCGCGAAACTCACCTGATGTCGGATGTCATTCGCTTACATGATTTTGACCCGTTAATTCCTGTGGGAGTTAAGCCATCCCCGTCAATCCCTGCGTTGATGTTGACAGAGCGCATTGGCGTCGCTAAAGAAGCAAAATTCGTGCCTTATGTGTCGGCACATTTAATTTTGGCAAAAGCTGACCCAGAAATTTGTATCTTACACTTACAAAAAGCTAAACAGGAGTGGCCGCGTCCAGTCGCGACGCCACCAGTGACAAAAGCGGCTGATGCCCCGGTGAAAACGGGAATTAAAGAAACTACACCAGTTCACGTAGCTCCGATTAAAAAGGGATCTGATCAACGTGATGAGGAGTTTGTGCGCAGTGTAGTACAGGAGATGATTCGCCAATATCTCCCGAGAGCAGCTACCGTCGCGGATGAACCTGTTCGTCCTGCAATTAAAAAGGAGATTAAGGTAGATAAAAACCCAGAACCGAATCAAGTTCGTGGGGGAGGCGGTGAAACAATTGTAAGTAGTATGCAGTCAAGTTCGCGGGGGAGAGAACAGGCGTCCTCCCAGCCGCCAATTAAAAAGGAAAAAGTTGTTCAGCTGTCACCGGCAAGCAGTCCGAGTACCTCGTCTCCGACATCGATTAGTCCTGTGCCTAACTCTGGCTCCAGTCAAGTTCGTGGGGGTGACGACTCCCTGCAACTTCCAATTCAGATTTCGTCAGTGGATGCAGTATTAAAGCAGCACCCTGCAGCAAAATATCTATACATGGGTGTTTTGGAGAAATCAGCGAAGGTGGTCGAATGTCTTAGCATAGATAACAAATTGCTTAATGTTATACCTGTTGAGCGCGACCGCAGAGACGTCGATGAAGTCCATGACTATCCGTCTTTCATGGCACGCAATCCAGAGTTGAAGAAGTGGATGACGCCGATGGATAGGCCACAGGATAAACAGCTGTATCCTTCAGAGAAAAGATTCCGTGATCCGCAATTTTGGCGCGAAACTCAACAGCAGTGTGTTGATAGCCGAATGTGGTACCAAATGTACAAGAAACCGTCGCATGCTAATACGAATTTTACCAAATACGAAATCAACAGATTTGTCATTTGTGAAGGGATATTGTGCAGAGTACCTGATCATTCTGGTGCATGCCCGAGAATTTACGTGCCGCATCAATGGCGACAGAAATTAATTGCCTGCTTCCACGAAATTTTAATTCATAAGCAAGCGTATGGCCGGCATGAAAAATTATATCCGTATTTGGTGAAATTATTTTATTGGCCTGACTGTATTATCGAAATCGAACGGTATGAGAAGAACTGCGACGTGTGTCGAAACTCGATTAATGATCGCCGGCATTTTGAAACCTTGAAACGCACGGAGCAATTAAACGCACAGAAAGCTACAGGAAAACGTAAAGTTACCTTCTCCGTGGATAACCCGGCGCCAGCAGGAGAATTTGAAAATGGTAGCTTCGTTCCTGCTGATGGAATGAAACCCATTAACATCGGCCCGTGTCCGGTCTCCTACGAAGATAAACAAGCGGAGAAGCAAAGGGAAATAAATTCTCAAATGATTAGCAACTCACCGCCGCCGAAGCCGTCTGAGTTCGTTTCGGAGGATGTCAGATCTACCTACGATGTTGCGACAAAAATTAATATTAATGAACAGTGGGAAATCTGGAATGAAATACAAAAACAGAAAGCGTTGAGTGAGTCTGCTGTTGCTAATTTAGTACAACCCACCGTGGGAAATTACGAACCATCACCGGAAGGTTCGGGAAGGAATTCCCCTAGGCGTAAAAAGTCCAGTTACAGCCGTAGAATTCGGCGGGAATACGCCGAGCGTGAGGCCGCAAGCCAGATGTCCGCCGAGACAGTGCAGCCGGCACCGGTGTTGCAACAACCGACGGCTAAAATTTGCCCAAACGGTCTCAGGACGTCCGGGAATCCACTGACATCCCGGCATGCGTCTATTCGAAGGATGCCATCGAGCTCGCGTACAGGGACGCCCATCTGAAACAGGCACAAGCACAGGTTGAGGTTAATTCGGTAGAACATGATATTTACCGCTTCGAGCCAGAACCCGGTCCGATTGATTGCTTCAAGATGGAGCTTTTCCCCTTCGCCGGTTATAATTCAGCCCCATTCACAGGGAATTATTCGTGCAACGACGTCGATGTCTGACGAACAGTTCATGGAATTTCAGGACGAATACCTGTACACCCAGCCGTTTCTCTACGAAGGAAAAATACCAGAGTCAAATAAAAACGCCGTATTACTCGATGGCGTCTTAACGCTAAATGAGTATGGTAATTGCCGAGTCTGCGTTGTTAACGTCTCTGACAAACCGCTCGTTTTGAATGAAGAAACCAACCTTGGCGAAGTCGCGCTTGTGGACGCAGTGTACCAAATGGACTCTCCGGAGTTCCAGGAGAATTGTCAAGAGGCAATTGGTGGCATTCCCCGTGTGGAAGAAGGTGTCTCGACACCGGAGAAAATAAATGAATGCGTGGCTATGCAGCTGCCGCCACCCGCCGTTAGTGTCGTTGATCCGGAAACCGAAGAAACGTTCGCAAAAATTAAAGTCGGAAACATTTGTCCAAGCAAGGAGGAATTAAAAGCTATATTTTATCAGGCCAAATCGGTCTTACCGACTAAAGCGCGTCCTGTGGGATGCTGTACCATTTATGAGCACTCTGTGGATACAGGCACAAGTTTGCCGGTCAGAACCCCTCCGTATCGGACATCGTTTGAAGACCGCAAATGGCTCCAGGCTAAAACCCAAGAAATGATTAAAGACGGTATTATTGAGCCAACAAATTCGGCGTGGGGCAGTCCCATCTGCATAGTGAAGAAGAAGGATAAATCCCGGCGTTTAACCGTGGATTTCCGTAAGCTTAACGAAAGATTAATGGGCAGCAGTTACCCGCTTCCCAGAGTGGACGACATATTAAATGCCCTCGATAAAGCAACGGTCTTTAGCAAGATTGACTTAAAGAGCGGATTTTGGCAAATTAAAATAAAACCAGAAGACCGGTGCAAAACGACAATGGTTGGTGAAGAGTTCACGTTTCAATACAAAGTCTTACCTTTTGGGATGAAAGACGCGCCTTCGGCTTTCCAGCGCGCCATGGATTTGACGCTTGCGAATATGAAGTGGAGGAATGTGTTAGTTTTTATTGATGACATTATTGTCTTCAGTAAAAACCTGGCAGATCATATGCGTGATTTACAGGAGCTCTTCTTGCGGCTCCAGGAATGCGGCTGGACCATTAATCCTGAAAAAACAGAATTATTTGTAAATTCAATAACGTTCTTGGGTCACACGGTCGATCAATTTGGTATAAGTACGGATCCAGAGAAGATCCAGGCGGTTAAAGAATTTGGCCCTATAAAAGATAAGAAAGATATCCTCAGATTTTTAGGTATGGTAGGATATTATCGTCAATTTATTAAGAATTTTCAAGAGATCGCTGAGCCGCTTCAAAAGTTGATTCCTAAAAAAGTTACCTTTGAATGGGGAACGGATCAGTGCAGGTCTGTGGAACAATTGAAGGAGGCCTTGGTGACGGCGCCGGTCTTGGCCCGTTATGACCCGGAGGCTTTGTCGCGTGTTATCGTCGATGCAAGTACTATTGCTGTGGGTGCAGTTCTTATGCAATGTCCCAAGGATAAACCAACTGGTGTGCCAACAAACTGGCGTCCTATTGCGTATCTAAGCCGCAAGTTGACTGAAACACAGAAAAGACTGTATTTCCCTACTGAGCTTGAAGCTTACGCGGTTATCTGTGCTTTAAAGAAATGGAAGCATTATTTGTCGGACTACCAGTTCGAAGTACAAACAGATCACCAAGCGTTAGTGTTTTTAAATAATATGCGTGATGCCGCTGGCCGCCTTGGGCGCTGGGCCTTATATATCCAGCAATTCAATACTAAACCAGTTCACATACCTGGCAAGGAGAATGTAATTGCTGACGCGTTGAGCAGAAATCCGGGAGAACAACCGGAACCTAATTCTGATGACTCGGATATCGAGTTTGATTATCGGCAAACTTACCCTTTCGCCGGTGATGCCGCGATGATCGAGTGTTGTTTCGCGATCCTGGAAAGAGATTATGTGGATATCCGCTTTGAGATGATGTCAGCCGAAGTTAAAGCCATTCCAGAGGAAGACATGAAAGCCTTTGATGAGGATAAGGTGCAGAAGTTAATTACTGACGATAAGGCTTCATACTGGGCTGAAGAGCAGTCTCGCGATGCGCGAATTGTCCGATGGCGGCTGCTCCTAGAAAATAAAAAGGAAAAGATGTCAGAGCACGAGAAATTACACCTAAACAAATTTGTAGTGAAACAGGGCGTTGTTTATTATAAGTTTGAATTAAACCGGAAGATCTATTACTGCATGTATGTACCTGTTCACTGGCGGCTTCAGTTCCTTCAGGATAACCATGATTCCCCGTTAGCAGCACACTTGGGCGTCCTGGCCACCTACAAAAGGATGTACAAGTATTTTTATTGGCCCCGTATGTTCGAGTCTGTTAAAAGTTATTGTGCTTCTTGCCCGGCGTGTCTTGCACAAAATCCTCTTGCTACAGCACCGGCCGGTGCTCTCCAGTCAAATCCAACGGTTCCTCCCCGGTTAGTTTGGGCAATCGACGTTGCTCCGGCTCTCCCAACGACGGAATCTGGAAACAAAAACATAATTATTGCAGTAGATTACGGGAGCAAATACATTGTGGCTGAGGCAGTCGAGAGAAATGATGCTGCCACATTGGCGTTGTTCTTTATCGCCGCATTCTCACAGTCTTTGGCATGCCTGTACATCACCTCAGACCGCGGCAGTAATTTCATGTCTGAGATGTTTCGGGAGCTTCGCTCTCGCGGGTGTTGCTCACGCACCGACGGCGTCAGGCCACCAGCAGGGCAATGGACTCGTCGAAAAACGCGTAGGGAAATCAAAAGGCGCTAGCCAAGTATGTGAATGAGCAGCAAAGTGATTGGGACATATTCCTCCCAGCACTTTGTGCGGCATTTAACAGTAAGGTTGTGGAGCGAACGGGCCGCTCACCATTCTTCATGATGCACGGCACCGAGATGCGCTTACCGATAAATAACTTCCTGCCGTTTGAAGAGGATTTTGTGATTCCCGCCCATGTATACGTACAGCAGATGCAGCGTGGCCTTGGCGAGGCCTTGGACTTGGTGAATGCAGAAGAGTTTCGCCATAAACTTAAGGACAAAATTCGTTACGATGCAAATATTTCACATGTATCGTATAAACCGGGAGATCAGGTTCTGGTGTATGTACTTCATCGGAAAGTGGGGAAAAATCCATCCCTTATGCCCCGTTGGACTGCTGGATGGGAAATTGTGCGTCAGTCAGGGCCAGTGCATTACGTAGTAAAGAGTAATCGGCGTGGAAATGTCAAAACTGACACTGTACATGTCAGCCGTTTAAAGCCGTATAATTTCCGCGACGTCGATACTATTCTGCAAGACGAGCACTTACCGAAGTTGCTCGATTGTGTGGAGAAGGAATGCCCCGATGAGTTAGTTGAGGCGCCCGCGCCGCCGCCGGTGATTCCATCCGTTGATTCAGCATCGTCGCGCCTTGATGCTGAGTACGCTGAATATCTGGATAACCAGATGGAAGCGGGTTCCATTACTTAAAACCCGCTCCGGGCGTGTGGTGAAACCTGTGGAAAGATTTGTTAATCAGATAACGACAAAAGCGTAAAAGAGACCCGTCGGCTGATGCTAAAAAGCGCATGGCCACAATGATAGAGAACCGGCTATTCTGAATGTATCCCAGCCGGGAGGGGGCCAATCTGAACTAGTTGCCCCGGTGGCCAGTGATACTTCGTCAATTACCTGTAACGCAATGGAGATGGGCCGGCGCAGCCAGCAAAACTTCTTTGCCTATTGTAGAAGACAGAACTCTCCCAGTTCCGGCTTGGGCACGCCCAATTGAGCAGTTCTGGCCACAAGGTGTAATACTTCGATGACGCCCTTGATAAGCAGGAATTCTGGAGGTATCGCCAGATGGAGTAGTGACATGATGTTGTGGGACGCCGTTGTTGATGGAGATTGTACTCTCGAGGAATCTGCATACGCGGCCTGGCATCTCCTCTAGTTCTGAAAGTAAAGGCATTATCTGCCATTACGGCGAAAGAGAGGATATCCAGAAGAGAATCCCTAAAATTCTGATACACCCCGTTTCAATGGCGTAAAATATTAGCTGAATCAGTACACCGTCGGTTGCTTCATAAGTATAGTGCCATTTCGCCATATGATTACTTATATAAAAGCACCTTCGGTTTTTCTGGCCTGAAATGAAGTCTGATTTAGCGAAATTTTGCCGAATTTGTACCTTATGTAATCTGATTAAAAGGCCGATGGCCGTTAAATTTCATACATTTTATTTTATTTTATTTTGAACTCTAAGGATTGAAATTTTTACTT